ATCTCTTCTCCCCCTCTCTACCCATCATCCCTTCCCCTCCCCTTTAGCTTACATGAGACGGGTTTTTAGCTTAAATTGGTGGATTTTAGCTTTTAGTTAAGGGAATTCTATATTTGGTTGATAGTTTATATCTTGGTTGAGGGAACTTAGCTTTGTTTGAAGGGTTTTTAGCTTTGGTTGGTGGACTTTAAAAACTCTTTCTTTTAGCTTTGACTGTGATTTAACTATTTTCTTTTTCAAATAATCTTAGCTTTTCCCTGGAAGATTTTTAGCTGTGACTTGAGGAATATTAGCGGCAGGTCATCATCACTCACACAGCTCACGTCCGCCTCACATCACTCACTCATAAAACGAACGACGAGGCGCTGACAGCATCCCCCTGGTCCTTCCCTTCACCCCCTCCCCTTCCCTTCCCTCTCAGCCCCTCTCCTTCCCCTACAATACCCCTTACCTCCTCCCATACCCTTCCTCTCACCCCCTCCCCTCCTCCCCTTACACTTCGTCTCACCCCCTTTCCTTCCCCCTACCCGGAAGAGAAGAGGAAGGGTACAGGGGGACGGGGAGAGAGAGGGGAGAGGGGAGAGGGGAGAGGGGAGAGGTAAAGCGAGGGGAGATGATTTTTGCCTGCCCTGTCAAGTATCCTATAGGCTAATTGGTGAGGGGAGAAGAGGAGGGAGGGGGGAGGTAGAGGAGGGGAGGGAGGAGGTGAAAAGAGGGGAAAGGGAAGGAAGGAGGAGGCGAAAACAGATGAAAAGGGGGAGGAGGAAGGAGAGGAAAGAAGAGAGAGACAAAAGGGAAGGAGGAAGGGGAAAAGGGGATGAAGAGGAAGAGAACGAGAGGAGGAAATGGGAGAGATAAAGATTAAAAAGAGAAGAGGGAGGAAGAGTTCGCCCTATTTACCCACTCCTCTTCCTCCTCCTCTCTCTCCCATCCTCCTCCTCCTCTTCCTCCTCCCTCTTACCCTCTTTCTTCACCTCCACTCCTCCTCCTCCTCCCCCTCCTCTTCCTCATAAAACAAAGCCTCGTTACAACATCACAACAGTTTTAGTTCCTCAAGTATAACCACGCCATAACACACCCAGGGATTAACTACAGTCACCACGTAGTTTGGCCGCCATCTTCTATTGTCATTATTATTATCATCATCATCATTTCCCAGGTAGGTCATCAGGTACGTCATTAGGTCATCAGGTAGGTATCAGGTCATCAGGTCATCAACACTATAATATCATCATCATCATCATCACTATATCATGTTCACCTTCATATCAACAATTCCAGGTGTTCGTGTACCTTTATAATTACATCTCCATAAATTACCTCATTCACCTGCTAATTCACCTTTCTTTTTAATTGTCATTTTACGCGTATGAATAATTGTGATGTTATTAGTCAGTATTTAGCAAGAATTTTTCATTTACGAATTATTTGGTTGATGAAAGTGAATAATATTGAATTGATTTCAGGACTGATATGATATTTTTTAAAGGGAACTGGTGACTAAAATTTACCTGAGTTTCTACGATTTAATGAGTTGTTCTTAAATACCTTGTAGGATTCACTTAACGTCGCCACTATACCGACAAGGATTCACTTAACGTCGCCACTATACCGACAAGGATTCACTTAACGTCGCCACTATACCGACAAGGATTTACTTAACGTCGCCACTATACCGACAAGGATTCACTTAACGTCGCCACTATACCGACAAGGATTCACTTAACGTCGCCACTATACCGACAAGGATTTACTTAACGTCGCCACTATACCGACAAGGATTTACTTAACGTCGCCACTATACCGACAAGGATTCACTTAACGTCGCCACTATACCGACAAGGATTTACTTAACGTCGTCCTAATTCCTTGTAGGATTCACTTAACCTCATCCTTAATCAGCCCAAGTTCACCTGTGTTTCGTCCCTAACACCTCAAGACTTACCTGGCTCTTCCGGGTAGTATAACTCAGAGGAGTGATCGAGTGTTTTGCACACCTTGGTTCACTACTTAAGGCTCCCCCGGGGCTTCCCTCACCTCTAGTGCTGAGACAAAACAACAAAACTAAGTCAGGGAAATCCAGAACGAACTGAAGCCCTTGTGAGGCATGTAAGTGAGGGGGGGGGGAGGAGGGGTGAGGGAGAGTGAGGGGGAGTTAGAGAGAAAGGAAATCAGGGGAGGGGAGTGGGAGGAGAGGGGTGGAGGGAGAGAGAAGGGAAGGGGTGGAGGGAAGGAGGGAGAAGGGGTGTGTGAGGGGTAGAAGAGGTCAGGGGAGGGGAGGGAGGTGTTGCTGAAAGGCACATTGAGTCAGAGCCACGTGATCTACCTGCCTGTATGTCTGTCTGCTTTTCTACCTGTCTATCTATCTATCTATCTATCTATCTACCTATCTATCTATCTATCTATGCGTCAGTAAAGATCTTCTGTATTACGGAACTGAAGAACATATAAGAAAAAACACGTTTCTCCCAAATATAAACAACCTTAAAACAATCAAGCGTCGTCTATTAAACCTAAAACTAAACGACACTTTCCTCAATACGAACGACACCCAAAAACAATCAAGTGAGTATGATATTTTAATAGGTAATACGCCTCTCCTCTCCCTTCCTTCCTCTCTCCCCTTCCTTCCTCTCTCCCCTTCCTTCCTCTCTCCCCTTCCTTCCTCTCTCCCCTTCCTTCCTCCTCTCCCTTCCTTCCTCCTCTCCCTTCCTTCCTCCTCCTCCCCTTCATATAGTGTTAATAGGTCGGGGTTATATTTAGTGCGGGTGTGAAGTGTGAAAATCCTATTGGTAGTTGAAAAGATTGTCGACCTAAAGTGACCATGTAGGTGATTCTTGTGTCGTGTGGGGATGACAGTCACACACACACACAGTATGTTATTCTTAAGCTCTCCTTCGCCTCCTTCTCTATCCTTCACCACACCGCCTCCTTCATAACCAATCGGATATATTCTCCCCAGAGTTACAACAAATCAGGAACTCTTGAAGTTGATACAAACTTATGGACTCGAGAGAAAAACTGAGTACAAACTGGGTCACGAGTGTCGGGTTGAGTACAGATTGTGTTAAGAGTGTCAGGCTGAGTACAGGTTGTTAAGAGTGCCAAATTGAATGGGATCAGGAGTGTACTCAGCTGTATAGTGGTGTTGAGGAAGGGAGGAGGGAAGGAGGGAAGGAAGGAGGGAGCGAGGGAGGGGAGGGAGGGAGGGAGGGAGGGGGGGGAGGGAGGGAGGTCTGACAACAGGATGGTGGGGTGAGGGAAGGGAGGGGAGGAAGGGGAGGAAGGAGGAGGGGAAGGGAGGGGAGGGGAGGGAGGGAGGAGGGAGGAGGGAGGAGGAGGGAAGGAGGGAGGGGGGGAGGGAGGGTCCCATAAACAGTATGGTGGCAGAGGGAGGAGGGAGGGAAGGGAGGGAAGGAGGGAGGGAAGGGAGGGAGGGAGGGAGGGAGTGTCCTCCAACAGTATGGTGGTGAGGAAGGAGGGAGGGAAGGAGGGAGGGAAGGAGGGAGGGAAGGTGGGAGGAAGGGAGGGAAGGAGGGAGGGAAGGAGGGAGGGAGCGTCAACATCGATCCTTCAGCAGACCTTCACATGTCCTGGACCTGGTTAAGATGGTCACACCACCTCCCCACCACACACCTTCCTCCTCCCTATCTCTCCACCTGCCCACTTATCTCCCTCCTCACCAACCGATCTACCACCCTCCCTTCCCCCCTTATCTCCCTTATCTCCCTCTCTCCCTCCTTCCTTCTACCCATCTTCTCCCTCCCCCCTCCTTCACTCCTCATACCAATATTTCCAAATAAACTTCAAAGGCTGCGTCAGTACCTCAAAATCTGTCACAAGTTACAAGTAGGAGCCGCTCTAGGACACACACACACACACACACACACACACACACACACACACACACACACACACACAGCTGTCCTCATCACCCCTGATGGGACCTTACAATAGGGCTTATTTGTTCAGGTCAACTTCCCTCAGGCTCAGCACCACCAGGAGGCTCTCCCTCCGCAGGGTTCTCCTGGTCTCTCACCTCAGGGCTCTCCTCAGGCTCCTCAGGGCTCACCTCAGGGTCACCTCAGGACTCTCCTTGGGAGCTCACCTCAGGGTCACCTCAGGGGCTCACCTCAGGGCTCTCCTCAGGAGCTCACCTCAGGGTTCACCTCAGGGCTCACCTCAGGGGGCTCTCCTCAGGGGCTCCTCCCGGGGCTCCTGCAGGCTCACCTCAGGGCTCACCTCAGGGCTACCTCAGGGGCTCACCTCGGGAGCTCACCTCAGGAGCTCCTCAGGGCTCACCTCAGGGCTCACCTCAGGGGCTCACCTCAGGGGAGCTCACCTCGGGCTCTCCTCAGGGCTCACCTCAGGGCTCACCTCAGGGGGTTCACCTCCAGGGCTCACCTCAGGGTTCACCTCCAGGGCTCCTCAGGGTCACCTCAGGGCTCACCTCAGGTCTCTCTCAGGGGCTCACCTCAGGGCTCTCCTCAGGGGCTCACCTCAGGGCTCTCCTCAGGGCTCACCTCAGGGGTTCACCTCAGGGCTCTCCTCAGGAGTTCACCTCAGGGGCTCACCTCAGGGCTCACCTCTGGGGCTCTCCTCAGGGCTCACCTCAGGGCTCACCTCCAGGGCTCTCCTCAGGAGCTCATCAGGAGCTCTCCTCCAGGGCTCACCTCCAGGGGCTCCACCTCAGGGCTCACCTCAGGGCTCACCTCAGGAGCTCACTCAGGGGCTCACCTCAGGGGCTCACCTCAGGGCTCACCTCAGGGCTCACCTCAGGGCTCTCCCTCAGGGCTCACCTCAGGAGCTCACCTCAGGAGCTCACCTCAGGGCTCACCTCAGGGCTCACCTCAGGGGCTTTCCCTCAGGGCTCACCTCAGGGGCTCACCTCAGGGCTCACCTCAGGGCTCACCTGGGGGCTCTCCTCAGGGTCACCTCAGGGCTCACCTCAGGGCTCACCTCAGGGCTCACCTCAGGGCATCATACTCCTACACCTCTAGGGTGCCTCAACACACAGGAGTGTTGTGTGTTTGTCCAGTTACTTACCCGTTTATTTAGGTCATTTTATCCTGGGGTTTTGTTTGTTTGTTTACTGTTGTTGTAGTCTTCCAGGTCTTGTTTGTTTGTTTGTTTGTTTGTTTTGCTGTTGTTGTGGTCTTCCGGGTCTTGTTTGTTTGTTTGTTTGTTGTTTACTGTTGTTGTTGGTCTTCGGGTCTTGTTTGTTTGTTTGTTTGTTTGTTTACTGTTGTTGTGGTCTTCCCGGGTCTTGTTTGTTTGTTGTTTGTTTGTTTGTTTACTGTTGTAGTCTTCCCGGGTCTTGTTTGTTTGTTTGTTTGTTTGTTTACTGTTGTTGTGGTCTTCAGGTCTTGTTTGTTTGTTTGTTTGTTTGTTTACTGTTGTTGTGGTCTTCCAGGTCTTGTTTGTTTGTTTACTGTCATTGAAGACCTGTTTGTATTTGTTTACTGTTGTTGTCGCCTCATACATTCATACAAAATACTGACCTGATCCATACAACCTCATTTATACCCTCCTCATGTGACTATCGTCATACCTCTTACCTCATACCTCATACACCTTTTACCTCATGCACCTCATACAACATACACCTCATACAACATACACCTCATACAACATACACCTCATACACCTCATACACCTCATACAACATACACCTCCTTATATCTTAACATACCTCATACAACATACCTCATACAACATACACCTCATACAACATACCTCATACAACATACACCTCATACAACATACCTCATACAACATATTTACCTCATACACCTCATACAACGCCACCTCATACAACATACACCTCCTTACACCTCCATACAACATACACCTCATACAACACACCTCATACACCTCATACAAACATACACCTCATACAACATACAACTCATACATACACCTCCTTTAACGCCACCTCATACAACAATACACCTCATACACCTCATACAACATACACCTCATACACCTCATACACCTCATACAACATACACCTCATACAACATACACCTCATACAACATACACCTCATACAACATACACCTCATACAACATCATACACCTCATACACATTAATACAGGCGGAAAATACGTATATTAATTATTGTATATATGCTAATGTGTGACGCTGCCTCTGTTAGTGTGACTTATACTCGCTAATGTTGGCTAATAACCACGGCTGAGTAGGATGGTCTGTCTGTCTGTCTGTCTCTCTGTCTGTCTGTCTGTCTGACTCTCTGTCTGTCTGTCTGTCTGTCTGTCTATCTGTCTGTCTGTCTGTCAACCTGGATTAAACCTTAAAACACCTTTAAAACACTGTACCATCATGAGCCCAGACACACACTCATACAACATGTTAAACCACAACGAGAACTATATAAAAAAACAATAAAAACCAATAGAAAACCTTTATTAAACCTGGCCGTGGGAGATATAAACCACGAGAAGCCGGATAGATAAGCAGCTTAGGTCCGGCTTCTGGCTCCATACCCCGTCAATGGGTGTGTTTTTATACGCCTCTGGGCTTAGGTTTAATTAGGGTTTATTTTGTTTAAGTTTAATTGAGTTTTAATATTTCTCTTTAGGTTTAATCTGTGGTTTTGAGGGGGGTTATTAAGTTTTTATTACTACTACTACTACTACTACTACTAATAATAATAATAATAATAATAATAATAATAAAATAATAATAATAATAGTGATAGTAATAATAATAATAATAATAATAATAATAATAATAATAATAATAATAATAATAATAATAATAATAATAGTAATAATAATAATAATAATAGTAATAATATGTCCCAGTAAAACAAATGAACGAGGAAAAATATTGGACCAGCTCTTCACGGACCAGCTCTCAAAAGTATTCATAAAAACGAATTTATTCACAGATACACAAAGTTAAAAAACTATTATTTCACTGGAATTATTATTTTGAGAAGTGAGAAAAGAATAATTGAAAGCAATTCATCTGTGAAATATTTAAAGAAATATATTTTTTAAAGATTCTAAATGACTGGAATATTTAGCCCCTCGAGTACTGTGACTTAAGTGAACGCATCGTACTCAAGGGATTATGTCACCGTAGTCAAAGGGTTAAGCCATCGTACTCAATCGTTAAGGCAATATACTACCAGGGGTCAAGTCATCGTACTCCAGGGGGTCAAGTCATCGTACTCCAAGGGGTCAAGTCATCGTACTCCAGGGGGTCAAACCATCGTACTCCAGGGGGTCAAACCATCGTACTCAAGGGGGTCAAATAACCGTACTCAAGGGGTCAAATAACCGTACTCAAGGGGTCAAATAACGTACTCAAACATATAACCAAAACAATGCATCAGGCAGTACAATATAGCCAATACCAAAATTACACAGTAGCAAGTTGCCTGGGGGTCTTGCTGTAGTTGTTGTTGTTGTTGTTGTTGTTGTAGGCCTCGAGGGGGTGGGGCAAGGAGGGAGGCGGGGGTAGTAGGGGAGGGAGGGGTGTTAGGGAGGGAGGGAAAGGGAGGGGGAGGGAACCATTTCTACGCTCCGGTTAAAATTGTTTTTGCTTGTATTTCAATAAACCTTCCAATGGCTGCCACTCAAATATGCAGAAATGAAAATACACTACAGTTTTTATGTGAGTGAAAACATTTGTGTATTTATTTATACGTATATATACAGAGAGAGAGAGAGAGAGAGAGAGAGAGAGAGAGAGGTGAGTTATGGATCTCTCCCATCTCCTACATACAGCAAAGTCTCAAGAGATTCTCAAGATTATTCTCTCTTCTTCCATTACGGGAGATGAGAGAACACACGCACCTACGGTCTTGTGTCACGTTCCGGCCATAAAGAGATAGAGAGGGCGGGCGAAGGTTCGTCTGGCGTAGATATCGTGAGAGTTGTTGTTGTAGTGGTGGTGGTGGTGGTGGTGGCTCCTCAGTGTTTATGCTCTCTCTCTCTCTCTCTCTCTCTCTCTCTCTCTCTCTCTCTCTCTCCTAACACTTTATCACCATCAGGCCTCCTCCTCCACTACCACCATCATCATTACCACTATCACCACCGCTACCACCACTATTACCACCATTATTACAACTACCACCAGCACCAACCACCACCACCAACTACCACTACCCACCACCACCACCACTACACACCACTACCACCACTAGCCACCACCACCAACCATCACTTCCCACCACCAACCACCACTACCAACCACCACTACCCACCACCAACCACCACTACCTACCACCACTACCACCACCACCAGCAGGCCATGGACCCCAGCTAGACAAAAATAGTGTTAGCTAAATACGGCACCATCACGCACACCTGCCCCTCACCTGACACCTGCTAATTAACCTGAGCTGAGAGTCATCTTGGGACGATCTAAAGGCCATCACCTGTGTGGCCAGAGTGGAGCCAGGTGTGTGTCTGTCTGTCTGTCTGTCTGTCCTATGTTATCTTTCCCACGGTATAATAATAATAATAATAACAATAATAATAATAACAATAATAATAATAACAATAATAATAATAAAACAAACAAAGAACTTCATTAAACATCATAATATCTCCCTAACTTGGTCTATATAAACTTTTTCTATCATCTAATGCTAAAAAAAATTACGATAATTTTGTCTCCTAACTGGTGTTAAGTGAAGGTATCTACAGTAGTTAAGGTAGAGTCTCGGTGTAATTATGACGCCATTGTGAAGGTTATCGCGGCATCACCTCTCAAGCTTCTCGTCCTTGTGTGTAGTTACGAGGAAAACTTAACTCTAGACCCACTGAGAATCTGGGTCAAGGAAGTTGGAGGTTCTTAGTAAACTAGTTAGGAGTTTTATGGTGAGGGGAGACGTGTACCGTAGTGGGGGTGTACCCGTAGTGGGGGTGTACCATGTGGGGGGTGTGCCGTAGTGGGTGTGGGGGTACCATGATGGGGGTGGAAATGTGTGTGGTGGGTGGGAGGCTGGAGGAATGATACTGAGTGAGGGGGTGAGTGAGGGAGTGAGAGTGAGGAACAGTGAGGTGAGTGAGGAATGAGGGAGGGGGTGAGGGAGGGGTGAGTGTGAGGGTGAGTGAGGAACGAGTGAGGGGTGAGTGAGGAATGAGGGAGGGGTGAGGGAGGGGTGAGTGAGGGGTGAAGGGGAGGGGGTGAGTGTGAGGGGTGAGTGAGGGGGTGAGTGAGGGGTGAGTGAGGAACGAGTGAGGGGGTGTGAGTGAGGAATGAGGGAGGGGTGAGTGAGGGGTGAGTGAGGGGGTGAGTGGGGAGAAGGAAGATAAATATTTCATGGGTCCAGTGCTTAAGGGGTGTGTGAGGGTCGACAGGTTAATTACAGGTGATGTTATATACTGTCTATACAAACACTATTACTTTTATATTGTGTCTCTCCTCTCTCTCCCTCTCTTTCCTCATTTATCATCTTATTCCCCTTCTTCTTATCTCTGTCTCTCTCCCTCACCTTCCTCTTGTTCTCTCTCTCTCTCCCTCACCACCAGCAGAGAAACAGACCCCACTGCACAGCTACCAACACCAATAAAAATACAATCACGTCATAAAGAGTTTGATAACGTTGGTCGGGTCACGTGATAACACCAAGTGGCGCAAAAATACGTGAAATGAATGAAACGTTTACAGACTGATGAACTGCGCCTGCGTGGTGGTGTGATGAGGGGCAGTGTATGTTGTGTACCTACGGCTTATGTTATTATTATTGTTATTAGTTGTTGTAGTAGTAGTAGTAGTAGTAGTAGTATTGGTGTACAGTAATCTCAGTTCAATAATACAAATCGCTCAAAATCTAGATCCAAAATAAAATAAAATAACACGCATCTTTTCAAAATCCGGATCGAGTCGAATTCAACGCTGACGAACGGCACCACCAAACATAAACATAAATAGATTACCAGATAATGTCTTTACTACATCATTAAAATGTTTACTTTTCCACGTCACTGAGTCTACTAATTAGTTACAAATGCCATTGATA